CTACGGAGGGAGGATAAATTTGTTCTGTCAACTTACGTCACATGCTTGGAACCGGTCGTGTAGTTCAATTATGCTTTTAAATATAAGCATTAAAATTATATTATATCTAATTGAATCTAATTTAAGATACTCCTATCTGTTGAATTAGCTGCTCAGGTTGTGTATGTGTTATGAAGGGGGGGGGGGGTGAGGGGGTAGAATATCCCCTCTGTCTTTTTCAGGTAATTAATTATGTATCACATCACCACTCAATGACCAAAATATCAGCGCAAATGAACTACTATGGTTACAACCATGTTGTGTACAATTTATTAGCTGCTAATGTCGGTGTTATATGTGTGGTATTGTACTGGGGAATATGGTGTCATTTTGGGGAAGATAGTGTCATGTTGGGGAATATGGTGTCATGTTGGGGAAGATAGTCTCATGTTGGGGAATATGGTGTCATGTTGGGGAAGATGGTGTCATGTTGGAGAAGATGGTGTCATGTTGGGGAATATGGTGTCAAATTGGGGAATATGGTGTCATGTTTGGAAGATGGTGTCATGTTGAGGAATATGGGTTCATGTTGGGGAATATGGTGTCATGTAGGGGAATATGGTGTTATGTTGGGGAATATGGTGTCATGTTGGGGAAGATGGTGTCAAATTGAGGAATATGGTGTCATGTTGGGAAGATGGAGTCATGTTGGGGAATATGGTTTCATGTTGGGGAATATGCTGTGCTTTAACGGAATATTATGCTGCTATCGTCAACTTTCGTTTGGGTTTTTAAGGTATAACTCTGCAAGTAAAATAAGGACATGGTGTGATAATATATAAAATGATTATCGACTATTTTGCCAGTTTCTGTTTTTGTCATACTGCAGCACGCTCATATGCCGGTGAAAGTAGAGTTTAGAACAACCTCCTTCCTCCCCCCTCCTCCCTCCCTCCCTCACCCCCCCCCCCCCCCCCCCCCCCACGTTACAACCAAAACAAAACTACTTAAAAATAACCTAAACAACTGATGCCAAATGAATGTTATATGAGAAAAATTATTGCGCTGTCATTTCCAAATCATGATACTCTTTAATAATTCAGACACAATTTAGATATAGTAGTACTCATAAAAGGGGCTTAGCTAGGTTTTAGCTGCAGTGTGGAAATCGTCATCTGCTTACACTTCAGTTACATACAGTTTTTTTACTAAATAAACTTCCTAGTTTTGGAACAAAAACATATAAACGTAAAACAGCATCGGGATTATATTTCAAAATAATTGTTTCAAAAATGTCAGCAATCAGTAAGCCGGGTTTGTCTGTTTAGGCGTCTAAAATGGTAGCATGTACTTGAAGTTTAATTTTTACAAATGGTGTAATTTTTGCTATAATGCAAATAAATTTTAAATTGTCAAAATGACCTCCGCCACCCCCCTCCTTCCCCCTCACTGGTTACGCCTCTAGCACAGGAACTAACTAAGAGATGATTTGTTGGATACAACCACACCAACAACATGTAATGGCAACATTTGGTCCGACATTTTCTTTGTTCAACATTTACTTTAGAATTTATTTTGACAATTTCAAGCTAGTAACAATTAATTATTTAACCCAGTCAAAAACATCTTTTGATCATTTGTCCTGAGATCATTTGTCCTGAGATCTTTTGTCCTGAGATCATTTGTCCTGAGATCATTTGTCCTGAGATCATTTGTCCTGAGATCATTTGTCCTGAGATCATTTGTCCTGAGATCATTTGTCCTGAGATCAATTGTCATGAAACTGGATAAAACATCGTTTTAAAGTACATTTTACAATGTTTTGTCATGAGGTTACGCCTAAATGGTGTTATCCGATGCGGACTGTACATTTGCCCTGTGAAGCAATATATTTTATATTACGGGCTAGAACATAATAATAAAATACAGTATAAATAAACAATCAGGACTTATACAATACAAAATATACGTTATCTAAAGCCGCTGTCTCGTAAGTAATAGTCAGTTTCTTCGCTGCCCATGTTGTAGTCTATCCGCTGATAATTCCTGAATATGGGCCCGAAAATTCTAGCTACGCCACTGCCCCTCCACTGCCTTCCGTCAATAACCCCCGTGATAATATGACCCCTATCAAGTTTACTTATTATCACATTACCAGGGATATGAGAGCTGGTCCAAAGAACTTCTGGGCATCCCAAACCATAAATATTACTTTAGCTCTTGCTATATGATGGAGAACAGGGAAACTATAAATCTTCCTTTAGCTTTCACAATGAGATGGCGAACAATAAATCTTACAATAAATCTGATAGGGGACACAATAACCCTTACTTTAGCTGACGCTATGGTGAACATAGAAATCAGCAAAATAAGTGTGGGGTATCCTCTCCAGAAAAGAAAACCTAACAGTAGACCTGACCCTTAACACCATCTCAAGCGCTAATATTTACGTTAACCTAAAACCTAACTCCCACCATCACAAGCCCGTTAGCAAATACGATTACAAGCTGAAGCCTTTAGCAAAAAGGATTAACAACTGAGGCCGATAGAAAATATGATTGTCAAATAGAGTTGTCGTACTAAAACACGATAATCAAGTTTGGTAAATAGACAATAGTCATTACGATGTACATGAGTCTCCTCAGTTACAATGAATACCTGGCTCTAGTGGTGAAAAATAAAATAAAATTTGCCCAATGTAATGGAATGGCATAGCTTCTATTGTATATGAAATTAAAAGAGCTGATAATTACTTTAAAAAACCTAATTTCAATAAAGTTTGAAAATAACATTGGAATATAGCATACAAACAATATTGCAGTCCCACATAATATGCTTCAAGTTAATGGTGTAGGAAAAGAAAAAAACAAAATTATTAATGCAATATAAGTATTTCCTCTATTATTTTTCAGGTGTGTATTTGACGAACTGCACCACCGAAAAGCACCATATATCGATTGTAAAATTTTATGACGATACGACAGGACAGGCATACAGTTTTTTGGAAATATTTTTGAAGAGTTTTATATCAAATAGCAATACCGACTTTGAGAGGGTTCAAGTAACTTGCATGAAGTATGATCAAGGAGATGAAGAGAGCTGCTCTGAAGGATGTAAAGGGATATTGCCAGCTGATAAGTTCCCTTTCAATATTTCTTGTGTACCAACTAACAAAAAAGACTGGCTGATCAATCACATCCGAGAGACTCAAACAATATCAGTTTGCATTTCACCTCACACAATTGACTCAAATTTTTACGCACACTTGTTGTTCTTATCTAAACACACATTTGTTTTAGATACTTACACTCCCATTGATTTTTTTCAAGCCGTAACTTGGGTAAATCTAGAAACACTTCAACAACATTCTGATCGGCCTACACTGATATGTACTGACTGCAAACCCGGCTGGACATCCTTTATAAATCCCACAACAAAGACACTTGAATCGTGTTATTTTATTCAACATTTCAATGGAAGTTTAACACAAGCTGGCGATCTGTGTAAAAATATGCAAGGGAATATGGTAATCATAGAATCGGAATCAGAGTTCCAGTTTATACAAGACCTTCTTAAGACAGCACTGGATTTCTCAGGTCTAGAGACTTGGTGTACACAACAAAACAACAGTGTGTGTCTGGCCTTGAACCTAACACGACACGGGAAACATTTTAGGTGGGGTCAAGGTCAACCACTGGTTATCTTTGCGCCTCGGTCACCAAATCTTGAAGAAAGTGGAGATTGTGTCACGTGGGTTTTATCACATGATGCAAGTGGCTACAGTAAAACATGGCGTCAAGTTGATTGTGAAGTTACAGATCAATATGTTGTCATCTGTGAGGTGGAAACGTATCTAAAACGTAACCCAAACTATCTAGCGATGGGGAATGAGTTTATAGAATACAATCAGGACGTCGTTTCTGTCGCAGCTAATTTAGAGGATGACATTTTCTATCTTTGGTTTGATAAAAAGATGGATTATTACATCGACAGATTTTACTGTGACGATATATCTTCCACATTTATAGCTTATTCCTTTGTATGTGACAACAAACACGATTGCCCAAATGGTAGAGACGAAGAGGGTTGTACAGGAGACAAAGACAAGATATGGTTTTACAATTCAGCTCAGAAAAAACTTTAAAAGAACAGATGAAAGCAACACACGCCAATCCGACACTATCAAACATCTGCCTTGTTTTGACCAAAATCGGCTGTTACATGAATTATGTAATTCACAATTAGACGATTATTGGTCATATAACAACACAATTAACGTAACTAACTCAGTATTAAATAACTTTACGCTAACTTCACTATGGCTTGATATTCTGCCATGCAATGAAGGTCCTACTCCTGTTAAAACAATTGGATCTAACCAAACTATGACATGCGTTATGGCCCCTAAATGTTTGTACATTAAATCGTTTGATGGTGACGTCATAGGTTGCCATAACATGATCCACCTACAGAACTGTACGACATACAAATGTCCATCTGGCTACACCAAATGTCCAATGTCTTATTGTATCCCAGAGACTTACGTCAATGACGGGACACAGGATTGTCCACAGGGAGAAGATGAAAACAATCTGATGTTGAAGTGTTTCAATACGTCACAGTATGTTTTCTTACAGCACGTTTGTGATGGCTACATAGACTGTCCTAATGGTGACGATGAAATTAATTGCAACATTGAATGTTCTAACTTTTTAATATGTGTTGCAGGGGTAGCAATTGTCGATGTTATGTACTTTTATTTTTCAGACACACAAAAATATATAGCACGTATAGATTATTCGATTCGATACCTTCGTTTTGCCATGTCTAAAGGTGAGTTGTCTTCAATAACAATACAATTGGGCAATACATCAAAACTAAACGTTTTAAATTGTCGCTCAATGAATATTAAATCAGAGAACTTTAGTTTCTTATCAATATCTGAAACAAACAATATAAAGCATGCATATTTTCCTTTTAATAAGTTTCAAGAAATTACATCTAAAGGACGTTTTTCAGAAATGAAAAGCCTTAAAACTCTCGACCTGTCTTACAACAAAGAGCTAACAACTTTTAATTTATCTATCCCATCACTAGAGAGATTAGATTTGTCTGACACAGATATTCCAAGTCTTCATAGGAATATATTTAAAAACATGAAAAATCTGAAAATGTTATATCTTAGATATACCAAGTTAACAAACTTAAACTTTATCCCTGACGGTTTTACGCTGGAAACACTTGATATCAGCGGTACTAAAATGCAAGGGATAGGATCCAATTATTTTAGAAACCTGAACATTACAGTAGTTGTAAGAACATCACAGTATAAACTGTGTTGTCCACAGGCTCTTGGCCCAAACATACCCGTTGAGAAGTGTCAATCTTATGACAAATCTATTTCTTCCTGTACAGACCTAATCAGGGGTGTTAGCATGAGAATTATTCTGTGGGCGATAGGTCTTCTAGCCTTAGTGGGGAATATGTTAGCTCTAGCGTATAGGATGATATGGGATAGAAAGGTTTTACAGACAGTGTACGGACAGTTTGTGTCCAACCTCTGTATCTCAGACATGATAATGGGCTCTTATCTCATCATGATTGGCGTGGCTGATGAGGTGTATCGGGACGCTTATTTTGTCAGAGAAGACGAATGGAAATCCGGGGTTGTCTGCCAAGTGGCCGGGTTTCTGTCAACCCTCTCCAGCGAGGTCACGACGTTCTTTATCTGTCTGATAACACTGGACAGATTTCTGACACTCAGGTTCCAAACTGGCAAGTACCGGTTCACCACGAGGACAAAACATGCATCCATCATCCTCTCCTGGCTGCTTGGGTTCTCTTTAGCTTTGGTGCCAGTACTGTGCCCTGAGTGGGGAATATTCACATCCAACTCCATGTGTTTGGCATTTCCTTTAGACACTGCTGTAAGTGGTGGACGTTATTACGCTGTGGCACTTTTCTTAGGTTTGAATTTTGTTCTGTTTCTGTCTATCATAGTCGGCCAGATTTTCATCTTACGTTCTCTCTCCGCTAGAAGAACTGTTTCTACTTTCAGTACCGTAAACAATTCAAGACGAGCCCAGGACGTTCTCGTTGCTAGGCAACTGTTTCTTGTGGCCGTGACCAACTTCCTGGCCTGGGTTCCTGTGCAGATATTTGGGACACTTGCACTGGCTGGGGTTGACCTCGACAACGACGTCTACACGTGGACGGCTGTGTTTGTTTTACCCCTGAACTCGGCCTTGAACCCTTTAGTATACTCTTTTCCAAGACTGTACAACCTGTTTCTGTCTCTAAAAAATGCTTGTTGTAAATAAAACGGGCTGTGACATTTCGTGCATGCGTCTGTATGTAAATGTCACAGTTGCTGTCATAATGTATGCAAACATTGAGTGTTCTGATTTAGCTGAAATACACGTATAGCACATTATACTGATAATACGCGTATCATTAATATATAATATTGTGTTATAAAAATAATTTAAAAAACTAAACACCAATTTTTGAATTGTTTCACTAAGCTTTAAAATACACTAAATAACAATAGTTTCTCAACATTTCTTAACATTTCAATATTAATACATAACATTTCACTAAGTTTACATTAGATAAAGGCTATGTTAATATTTAGGGTAATTTAACGTAAAATCTTCAAATTTTAATGCACTAAATATATTTGTATTTCCTTGATCCGAAATGGTGTTTAGTAAAAAGAATTGTTTCATGTTTTCAATTAAATATAACTCAAATAAATACCAGTATAGTTATCAACTTCTTTAATTTGTTAAAGTAACTTAGATTTGTGGCAATTTGTTATTTTAACTTTTAAATTTCAGACCAATTTTATTTTATATATATATATATATATATATATATATATATATATATATATATATATATATATATATATATATATATATATATATAATATATATATATATATATTAAAACATTGAAGTATCAATAAATTTCTCACTATAATGTAATACTTTACTTTCGATTACATATCTGTGTATTGGTAGTGTTTGTGTAAACTGTTGTATACATTATATCCGTTTCATGTGACGTATTTTATACTTTTTACTTAAAAATGGATGTTGCTTGTAACACACTAGTTGGAAAAGTGCACTATTTTGTAAACTTTAATTAAAAGACGATTTTATGTTTCAATAATAATTGTATGTAAAGAAATGTACATAAGTATGTCTCTCATTCATCATTAGTCTTGTAACAAGGTGATATTTATACGTTTTTAACAGCTTTATGGTGGTTATGCTTTGATATGTTTTTGCATATATTTTTTTTAAAATATACCTAAGTATAAAACGCTAAGTGTATAATTACACATCTTTCTATAAAAGTTGACACTTCTTATTTTTTTCATATATATATATATATATATATATATATATATATATATATATATATAAAAGAGAGAGTTTAATTGATTCTAGTACACTTTCATATATGATTTATTTATTATAACTTTTATACATTTTCTCTTCACACCTTGTCATGCTTTTGAAAATTCAGTTGCAAATAAGATCTATTTTTAAATCTTCACGAATAGATCTTAAAATTACGTGAATAGCTGGTAAGATTGTTTACAGTTCATATATATATATATATATATATATATATATATATATATATATATATATATATATATATATATATATATATATATATATAAATTGGCTACTATCCCGTAACAGCTTCTGTTCCGCTACTTCAAAATTGATACGAAAACAGATTAAAATTTTGTAAAACCTAACCCTTGTAAAATGAGCTTTTAAAATAAATTTTCCACCTCTTTAAGTATGCTCCCGAGACGACTGTCCCCTCCCTCTTCGCCCCACCTGTTGTGCGACTAGGTTTTATTTTCATTGAATTCCATTTTTAACCAAAATAATTACGTACAACTGAATTTTTTATAAGAAAAAATTCCATCCTTAATGCCAATATATTTTTGTAAAATTATTTAGGTCCATAACTCTTCATTGGTTTATGTTCACGATTAAAGGCCGGTCAACTAACCATTATCTTCACTCAAATAAGAATCTAAACTTTTATTGTATTGGTAGTTTTTACTTCATATTACGTATTGTTTAATGTTGGATTTTTAATAACTGTTCTAATGTATACTTCTTAAAACTATAATTCTAAATCAAAATACATTTTTAAATATGTGTGATGTTTATTTTAGGTGTTTTTGATGTTTTATTACAGATTCCTAATTGATAAATTGTTTATGACAGATACTTTTTTGATATTTCAATGTAAACATATAATGAAATATAAATGTATGAACAAAAAGAAACATAATGCACTACAAATTTAGTAACAACTATAAAAGTTTGCGTTTGCTTTTCTTGCTTGTAGCGAACTGGGAGATTTTAGGTCGTCCCCTGCATCGAATTGTCTTCTCATGTCCAAACCAGCTGGTGTCATGCTAGGTGGGAGTAGGCAGAATCTTTTCTATAAATATAGGTGGCTAGTGGCTGGTAACATTGCGGTGAGATATTCTTCATCATATTCTGGTTCGCCAAGGCTAAAGAGCATTTATTCGGGTAGTTGTAACCATTCGAGCCAGAAGTTAATTAATGAAAAAAAAAGATTAGTAGAAATTTAGATGGACGTAAATAATGATGGGTGTAGTTGGTTTAGTCTGGGGTTTAGGAAATACAGAAATCAGAGGCGTAGCTTGACATTCCGGTGCCTTGGGCGGACTTTCAAAGTTGTGTTCCCTTCGTCCCATTTAAAGATAGTTTTCCTGTTTGTAAAAACGCCCTCCACTCCCACACTTGGAAATGTTTGTGGCGCTACTCACCAGCTACTCTCCCGTAACAGTTTCTGTTTTGCTGCCTCAAGATTGATAAAAAAATCATTTTAAAAAGTTTGTAAATCCTTGTAAAATGATAGTTTAAATTAAATTTTGCGCCTCTTTAATTCAGCTCCCCGGCAAAATTCCCTTTCCTCCCCAACCCACTCACTGTGCGTAGCTGGAAACGACTAGATTTTATTTTGATTAAATCACATTTTTTTTTACCAAAATAATAACTTGTCTGAATTTTTTATGTATTTATGTAAAATTATATTGGTCGATAACTCTTTATTGGTTTATGTTCACGAATAAAGGCCGGTCAACTAAATATTATCTTAACTCAATCAAAGAAGAATCTAAACTTTAATTGTATTAGTAGTTTTTACTTCATATTACGTATTGTTTATCGTTGGATATTTAATTACTGTTCTAATGTATACTTTTAAAAAATATAATTCTTAAACAAAATAAATGTTTAAATATGTTTGATGTTATTATTGGTGTTTTTGATGTTTTTTTTTACAGATTCCTATTTAATATATATTTTTTTACAGATACTATTTTTGATTTTTCAATGTAAACACTTTAAGAAATATAAATGTGTAAACAAAAAAGCATAATGCACTACAATTTGTTAACAACTATGTTACACACATTATATCGAGCACATTGTCGTTGACTGTCAAACGCCACATACCAATGCACACTATTTGTCAACAATTCTTGATGCATAATAAAATCTATTTGTTCGAAAACGCTTCAAGTGATTTGTATTTTTAATTTTTAATTTGTCCAATAGTTTTAATAAGTGCATTTCGTAGACATAATGTATCTACAACCTCACTGATATCAAAATGAATATCAAAATACGTGTGATCACATTAATATTTGTTATTTAAAGAAAATAACAGAATATACTATTGCTTTTTAGTATAGGTTATTATATCTAATATTGTTTATAAAACAAATTAATTTTATTGCAGCATGAGTATATCATCGCTTGTATTGGACATGTAATACATGACGTAGCTAAGTTATATACAAGTAAACTCTTTTTGGTTGTCACAAACGTCAACACAGCGGTTTGCACACGTAAATCGTCAATCTCTACGAGAACAGTTCTCATTCGGTAATACAATACACACTACCGTGTGCTACAGATACTTAAAATGTTAGAGAGCACCTGTCACTCGATAAAAAAAGCTTACACACACACATACACACACATATACACAACACACACACATAAACACACATGGCCATGGTAAACTACAGGTATACTTAACGAACTTATAATTAGTACATTTCGGGTACATTTCTGATAAAGTTATAGAAAACACAATGTGGATAAGAGTAAAACTGCTTCAAAAGATGAATAAGCAAACATCAAGATTTTTATTTTACAACCAGAATCATCTATATACTACTTAAACTCAAGTTTGTTAACATGTTTGAATTTTCATTTGTTTTTTTTTTTGTGTTTTTTGTTTGTTTGTCTGATTGAATACTGGAGAGAATCTGCTCTATGTGGAGAGCTGTAAAATAGATTGTAGGTAGAGAACAATTTTTGTTTTCAGACAGACTGTTAATCACCAATTTATTTAAAGACGTTAAATAATTTATTGATTTATTCATAGGTAGATTAACCACATTAATTTAAAAGTTTAAAAACATTGACTTAACTTTGTGGGAATAGTGACGTTTCGTGATTTTTTTTTTACTTTTTAGTACAATAACTGGTGGCTCCAATCCACGATTTAGTTGCCGATTCAGATGTTTAACGGGTTCTTAAACTAATTTTCTGTCGGCTATAACTTTAACAATACGTCCGTTTGCTATTTTTATTAAGTTTCAACACTATTATCAATGTTTTAACACTTCTTTTTAATTTATTATACAATACATTTAATTTGAAATAGTTCTAGATCTAATTCTAGCGCTGATTTGCGTAGATTGTTACGCCGCTTACAAGTAAAATATATAAGTTATTAACTTTTCTACGAGTACGAGTTTTTTTTTTTTTTAAGTTGTGAATGATAATGTTGCCTTTGCCAATTGGAACTTAGCGGTATACAGGGCAGGTGAAGTAGAATTCACATGTTTCTTTGTCCTCAGTATTTAACGTGGATAGTGTCGTCAGAGCCATGCTCAACCAGTATCTTTTTTTAAAGATAAAACATGTTGTCTGAGACTTGGCGAAACACTGGGCAGGTGAAGTAGTGTTGGGAAGCAGTAAAGTTCACCAGTGACGACAGCATATGAAGAGACAGTGTGGTAAGACCAACGCTCAGCCAAAATCTGTGTTTTCACAGACAAAAAAATGTCTGAGTTGGGAGGACACTGGGCAGGTGAAGTAGAGTTGACTTGTTTTTGTGACCTCGGCATATGAAAAGATTGGCTACAGGACATTACCCCCCTGGATATTTCCCCCCGGACATTTCCCCCCCCCGTATTTACCCCCCGGAGCAATTACCCCCTGTCAATTACCCCCCC